GAAGGGGGAGGGAAGGAGGGAAGGAAGGAGGAAGGAAAGGAGGGAGGGAGGAAGGAAGGAAGGAAGGAAGGAGGGGGGAGGGAAGGAGGGAAGAAAGGAAGGAAGGAAGGAAGGGAGGAGGAAGGAAGGAAGGAAGGGAGGGAGGGAAGGAGAGAAGGAAGGAAGGAAGGAAGGAAGGAAGGAAGGAGGGAAGGAAGGAAGGAAGGAGGGAGGGAGGAAATAGGAATTTATGAAGTGCCTACCTTATTGAACATACAGAAACAGAACAAAAATGAGAGAAACTTAGGGTGAGGGGAAAGGACCTCAGTAAAGAATGAATGAATGAATGCAGAGTTGTAGACGAGACCTCTCATGCTGCCAGGTGGAAGAGCTGGGTGGGGAGAGGCTGGCTCGCTGGAGGTCAGGCTAGTGTGGAGTAGAGCAAAGATGACTGCATGTGGAGTCAGAGAATCCGGATTCAAACCTACCTGTGTGACCTTGGGCAGGTCACAGCCTCTTTGGGTCTCAGTTTCCTCAACAATAAATGTAAAAGGTTGAACTAGAAGGTGCCTTCCAGCTCTAAATCACCGATCCAATAATCCTATGACATAATTAGGTACAGCCTCCTCTCGCCCTGGGATGCTCCCTGGGCGCTGTCTGGTCCAGGGAGGAGAGGAGTCTGATGTTCTGGAGATACTGAGTCTAAGGCGGCTCAGCGCAGAGATGGGGGTGGGGGGAAGTTGATGTGCTGAGGTCAGAGGGCCCAAGTCGTCAGGAGCTCCTGTGGGGAGCCCAGGAATGTAACTAGGGTGGGACAACCTGGGATCTTTCCCGGGCACAGCCCATGTGAGGGGTGGGGTGAGACGGTACTATTCCAGGCCAAAGACAGAGAATGGATGTGGCAGAGGAAAGAGAAAACATTGTCCTTGGGAGGGACCCCTTTGTAGGAACGTGCCTGCTCCCAGACCCACCCATTTGCCCCAGTTTAGAGAGAAGACAGAGGCAGCTTTAGGCTAGGTCAGCTGAGCCCAACCGTGAGGGTCAGAGGAAGGGAGCAATGAAACCCTCACCTCTATCTCTGCCCCTCCCAGACAGAATAACTTAGAACTGTCTGAGGGGGGTGTGTGAGAATGATGTGAATGATGCAGGCATCACAGTGAAGGGTTTGGGTTTTTCTTTTAAATAGCATGTCGTAAAAGTTTTTTGTTTTTGTTTCTTTGTGTTTTTTTTTGGTGAGGCAATGGGAGAAGTGACTTGCCCAGGGTCACACAGCTAGTGTCAAATGTCTGAGGCCAGATTTGAACACAGGTCTTCCTGAATCCAGGGCCGGTGCTCTATCCACTGCACCATCTAGCTGCCCCCTTAAATAGCATGTGGGCTTCCTTACCTAAGGTTCAGGCCCTCAACTGTGTGACCTTAGGCAAGTCATTTAACACGTCTGACCTCAGTTTCTTCACCCACTTGAGGGCGTGGCCCACTTTCACCCTAGTCTTGCACAATGCCTGCCCCCAAGCAGGTGCCAGCTGAGTAAGATTCATATGAAGCAATAAAACCCGTGGTCTCAAGGTGATACCATATGAAGAATCCTGAGGCTCCTGAGTCAGAGGACCTGGATTCGAATCTCCCCTTTGATGCTTACTACCTATGCAACCTTGGGCAACCTCTCCGGGCCTCAGCTGCCCTGTCTGTAAAATGGAGGCTTGGCCCGGATGGCCTCCAGCTGAGGTCTCCTCCAGCTCCGAAGCTAGGATTCTCCAACGCTCCCTACCTCCTCTCAACCCTCTCCTGCCCCCTCTCCTTCCCAGGTGCCAGGCCGCCTTTCCAGAGGTGGTAATTCTATGCTTCACCCACTCCTCTTTCAGAACCTCAGCAGCTCAAGGGGAAAGGCACCTGCCAAAGGGAGGGGCAGAGAGGGCATCAGAGCCTGAAATCCTTCCTCAAACATGGGCCCTGCCCAGGCAAGGCTCCCCAGCATCTAGGTACTGGGGGCCGCTGCTCTTTCCTCACACCCTGGGCAGGCCTGAACCACATCTCCACCGACCAGGAAGTCTGCCCCACTGATAACTCCTTCCCCCCCGCCTCTCCCCATCCAAACCAGCACCTTCTGGTTACTTGGGTCCCTCTTGAGAATCCTCTTCAAACTAAGACTTAACCGTTTACCTTTCCTGATCAGGAATGCGATTTTAAAAGGCTAGGCTGGAAAGACAGTAATCAATCCAAAGGAAAGAAGATCTAAGAGTGAAATTTCAGGCACAGTGGGGGGACACATTCAGGGAGATAGCAGGGGTCTTTGCTCACCCCTCATAATCACACCATAGGCACTCCCCGCCTCCCACCTACCCTCTAGAAAGTCCCACCCCGATCCAGTTCCCCAGGCCCGGGCAGGTAACGTGAAGCAGACTTGACATGTCGTGGCTGTGGTTGTAAGAGGGTGGGGGCTTCAACTGGGAAAGGGGGCTGGCGGGAGACAGGGGAAGAAACAGAAGACCCTCCTGACAACGTCCGGGTCCTTCTTTAATTCATGCCAAAATGGGGGCGACTCATTAGCACAGCGGACAGATTTAGACCATGGGTCCTGGGCAAGGGCTGGGGAACGGCTGGGGCCCCCTGCCCACAGGCAGCGTGTCCGCCTCGCTGGGGGGGATGTGGTGCGTCATGTAGCGTTTGCCAACGAAGGAGTCCACGCGCAGCTGCTCGGGGGGCGGTGGTTCCTCGGGCCACCAGAGGCTGGAGCTGGGGGAAAGCGGACGACAAACCTCTGGTAAGTGCCTGCTCCTGCTGCCTGTGCTCTGACAGCCCCTGCCCTCACTGAGCTTCCAGTCTAGACAGTCTGAAACTGGTCTCTAAGGCCCTACCCAGCTCAAGGCTAAGATCCAAAGTCACTTCGGGCTCAGTTTCCTCCCCCACAAAATGAAGGGGCTGAATCAGAGGACCTCTGAGGTTTCTCAGGTAGGGTCCTCGGGTAGGGGACCGAGAACCCTCTGGACCTTGCTTGACGAGAATGTCATCATAAGGTCTGGGGAGGTGAGGAAGCTGCAGACCAGGTTGGGTTTGAGTCGGGCTCTAAAGGCTGGGTAGGAATTCACCAAGCAAAGAAAGGGAGGGGTGATGTTCAATCACAGGGAACCGCATGGGCAAACACCTGGAAGTGGGAGAATGCAGAATGTGTGGGCAAGTATATCAATGACTCAGTTAACAAGTATGTATTAAACGTGTTCGAGGCACTTAATACCAGGCACTGGGCTAGGACACAAGTACAAAGTGACGTCATTCCTACTTACAATCAGGAAATGTCCACGATGGCAGGTGGGAGAACGACATTAATTTTAAAATGGAAAATAAAAATGAAATGACTGTGTTCCCCAAATAAATAAAAGATGGCAAAAAAATGAAAATAGAACAGAATTGGGAGGCAGGGTTGGCCCCCTCCAGCGTAATGCCTACCACCTGATGGGGTAGGACTGGACTAGGAACTCCCAGGAAGGAAATTCCTTCTACCTGTGCAGATTGCGCCTTAGAATTTTAGAGAGTTGGGTGGGGCACTGAAAGGTTAAAGGCCATCCCTCCAATGCGTGTCCAAGGGGAACTGGAAGCCAGGTTACTCCTGACTTCAAGGCCATCTCTCTAGCAAACGGACCGTGGCCTTCTGTCTATGAGCTGATCCCAGCTGAAGATTCCCTTGTTGGACCATTGGCCGGAGGAATGAAGGCTGGTGTTGCCCCCTGGTGGCTGATTCTAAGCTCTGCAGCCTGTCTGCAGGTAGAATCCCGCCCTGGGGGCCCCAGGATGCCTGAGCCTTCAGTGACTACTCTCGGTTGGGGTCCTCTTCCAATATATCTGAACGCCTCCAGCCAGATTGTGAAAAACAAGCCAAGAAGCTGCTAATGGGAACTAATGGGAAGTCTGCTCCCCTTTCTGTGCCCTCGGAGCCCCCACGGCCCCACTCTGCCCCCTAGGAAGCCTGAGTGTCCTCCCCGGGGCGGAGAACCCGAGGACCTCTTTCTCCCTTGGGAGGACAGGATGGAATGTGGGACCTACAAAGGGCAGGGAGCGTTTTAGGAACCTGGAGAGGATAACGCCGAATCCTATCCCTGACACTACCTGTGTGACCTTGGGCAAATCACATCACTTCCATGGGCCTCAGTTTCCTCATCTGTCAAGTGCACTGGACTGCCTCTGAGGTCCCTTCCAGCTCTACGTTCCTAGGATACTTAGCAACAGGCAAATTACTTGGGCCTCAGTTTCCTCATCTGTAAAATGAGGAAAGGTCTCTGAGGCCCTTTTCAGCTCTAAATCTCTGGTTCTATGACGATCCCTCACAGCCCACCCAGACGAGGGGATGAGGCTGGCCCCGGTCCGGGGCTTCAGGACTCACAACTGGACAGTGGAAGCGATGAAGAAGGCAAGCACCAGGAGAACAGCGAAGGTGGACAGGATGGAGGTAATGACGATCATGCAGCCGCTTCTCCTGCTGGGCCACGTGTCAATGCTTCGGGGGTCCCGTCCTGGGGTCAAAGAAGCACCGTCTGCCCCACCGACCGGCAGCCCAGCTGGGGCGAGGGAGGGAAGGAGGGAAGGGGAGACAGGGACGAGGAGGGTGGGAGAATCGGGGGGCTGGAAGCTCTGGGACGGGTCAGGAGCCCGGTCAGCGTCTTCTGCAGGGAATGCCGTTCTCTTCCCACCCGTCGGCTCGGGGGCAGTTCTAGGGTGTCCACCCTTTTAGGGGAGCCCTGAGCGAGGCGAGGGAGAGGAGGTGTGGCCAGAGCTAAAGACACACAGGAGCCCCAGCTCTACTGAGAATTGGTTGTGTGACCCCAGGTAGGTTATTGCATTCACTTCAACTCAACTTGTCACAGCTCAGCTCAGCTTTATGTACTTCCATTCCATCCCCCTCAGCTTAACGAGTATTTATTAAGCCCTTGCAATGTTCCAGGTACTGAGCTAAATGCTGGGGGTGCAAAGATAAACATGAAGCAGGCCCTGCCCTCGGGAGCTTACATTCCAACGTATGGACAGGCGTCCCAAAGGACTTCTCTTCCTTCTGTTGTTTCTCCTACACCTGGGCTGCTCACAGTAAATACGCAGTAAATATTGGTCAAATGAACAAACAGAATATTCCCTTCTCTGGGCCTCACTTTCCTCATCTCTCCAATTCGTGTGGTGAGAATCCAGTGAGTGTGTGGAGGACAAATGACACAGACGAGGAATGAAAGAAACAAGGAAGCTCTTCCACTGGATGAGCCTGGGGTCTTTTGACTTGCAGGAATTCTGGGTTCAGGTGCCAGGGAGCCAGGTAGTAAGTGGGATATGGGGTAGTCCTCTCTCCACCAGCTTAGCTTGGCACATTCCCCCCATGACAGAGGGAGCCCCAGTGTGTTATCTAAAAGTTGCATGTCCTTCAGAGCCTAAGAGAGTACTCTGCATCATCAGCGTTTAATGAGCGTTTGTCAAACGAATGAATGAATGAATGAATGAATGAATGCATGAATGAATGAAGGTAGAGGGGAATGGAGAGGCTGATGCCACATACCAGTGGGGGGACAGAACAGTGACCAGAGGAGAAAGCCAGGACTGGGGTTCAAATTCCACTTCTGATGCTTATGACCTATGTGATCTTGGGCAAGTCAAGCTCTATGAGCCTCAGTTTCCTCATCTGTAAAATGGAAAGCTTAGACTAGATACCCTCGGAGGTCTCTTCCAGCTCTAAAACTATAAGTTGGATCATGACTAATGTGAAAACATACTTAATGTGAATGTATAAGTAGAGCCTATATCAGATTGCACGCCATCTTGGGGAGAGGGGAGGAAAGGGAGAGGGGGGAAATTTAAAACTCAAAATCTTATGGAAGTGAATGTTGAAAACTAAAAACAAAGAAATTATTTAAAAATCAACAACTGTAAGTTGGGCTTCGAAGGACGGGTCAGACTGCAGCTGGTACTGAGGGGAAAGGACATTCCGGGGCGAGGGGCAGACTGAACATGGGCATTGTCGGGACCCCCACTAATGGTGCAGGGAAGGGGACCCTGAGCCCCCAAGTCACAGGCAGGTGACTGACTGCCGAGCTGATGTTTGTGCGACCGAGCACCCCGAGGAAAGAAGGGCCCTTTGCTTCTCTCAGGGGGAAGATGTCCCAGACCCTGGGATCCTACCTTGGTTGAGGGTGATTGGGTTGGACCACCTCGTCTCGGCCTTGGGTTGGGTGTTGTTGTCCATCACAAGAAACTTCACGCTGGGGAGGAACCGAGGCAGTCACGGAAGGAGAGTCAGAAGTTCTGAGCCCGCTGGGGCCCTCAGAGCCCAGAGTTCCCGGAAGCTCAGTCACCAAGCAGTTGATCAGATGCCATCTTGTATCATTGGGATCCTAATTTAACTTCTCAGGGTATGCATGGCTTGTCTCTCCAAGAAGGGGAGACTCAGTCTCTCCTCCTTCAGGAGGCCTTTCTTGACTGCCTCAGATCACCCTGATCTCCCCTTCCTCAGAACCCCCAAGCTACCTGCCGTCTGTTACTGATAGCTCAGTCTGCCTGGGCTTATACTCTAATTGTTCAACTGCACGCTTCCTGAGGGCAGGAGCAACCCCAGAGGATTCTAATTTGGAGCTGGAGGAATCTCACCATCTAGTATAATTCTCTCATTTTACAGATGAGGAAACTGAGGCTCATCAGTTAAATGATTTCACAACTTTACAGTGGGGTTTGGTCATAGGCTCATAGACACAGAGCTGGAAGGGTCTTAGAGATCATGAATCCAACCCTCTCATTTCGCAGATAAGGAAATGGAGGCCTAGAGATGGGATGTCACACTGGCAGGTGATGTCAGTGTTAGAACTTGAACTCATGGCCTCGGACTCCAGGTTCAGCTGCTCCTACAGCACCATGATGGCCATGGTCTCTTATCTTGTTTCTCTTCCCTTCTGTCCACTGGCCCCTGCCTCCAGCTCTCCCATACATACCCATTGGTCTGAGCACAGAGCTCAACACACAAAGAAAGCTAAGTACAAACTCATGGCTTAAAACTTGAGCCAGTAAGAACTGGAAATGGAGGGGATGTCCATCAATTGGTGAATGGCTGAACAGGTTGTGGTATATGATTGTGATGGAATGTTATTATGCTGTGAGAAAGGATGAGCAGGATGATTTCAGGAAAACCTGGAAAGACTTACATGAACTGATACAGAGAAACTGAGCAGAACCACGAGAACAGCAACATTGTATGATGACCAACTGTGAATGACTTAGCTCTTCTCAGAAATACAATGACCCAGACAATCCCCAAGGATTTATGTTGGAAAAATGCTATCCAACTCCAGAGAAAGAACTATGGAGTCTGAACACAGATCGAAGCATACTCTTTATCACTTTCTTTGCTTCTTTTTTTTTTTGGTTCTAGTTTTCTTCTACAAAATGACTAATATGGAAATAGGTTTTGCATGATTGTACATGTATAACCTACATCAGATTGCTTACTGTCTCAGGGAGGGGGAGGGAGAGAGAAGGAAGGACAGAATTTGGAATTTAAAACTTAAAACAAAAAACTAATACTACAAATGGTTTTTACATGTAATTGGGGAAAAACAAAATATTATTCTAAAAAATTATACATAGGCTCATATAAAAAAAAAAAAGAAATGTGAGCCAGCCCCCTCCTCACCTTGCACACAGGATCCCAGATCTAGAGAGGGAGAGGCCTTGGAGATCTAGTTCAACTTAAGCATTCCATTTACTTTTTTAAAGCTAATTTTTATTGATGCCTTAGTTTTTACATCACTCATCCTCCTAACACATAAAAGAAAAACCAACATTGACTGTGTCTAACAATGAATGCAACTTGTTTTCTCATTTGTAAAATGAGGCTAATAATAGCACTTTCCTCCCACGGCTGTTCATATAATCATGGATTCTGAGCTGGAAGGGACTAGAGAGGTTGTGGAGTCCATACTCCTCAATTTTACAGATGAGGAAACTGAGGCAGGCAAAGTAAAGTGACTTGCCCAAGATCACACAGCTAGTAAATATCTGACACAGGATTTGAACTCTGGTCTCCCTGGCTCCAAGTCCAGTGACCCCATGAGGATCAAAGACATACCATGAAAAAACACATGGCAAATCCTGAAGTGCTCTATAAACGTTGTTTTTGTTCATTCACGTCTGACCGTTCACGACCCCATTTGCAGTTTTCTCGGCAGAGATACTGGAGGGGTTTGCCATTTCCTTCTCCAGCTCATTTTACAGATGAGGAAACAGAGGCCAACAGGGTGAAGTGACTTGCCCAGGGTCACACAGCTAGTAAGTGTCTGGGGCCAGACTTGAACTCAGATCTTCCTGTCTCCAGTCCCAGCGCTCTATCCACTGCACCACCCAGCTCACCATGTACACATGTTAGCTAGCCACTGTCTATATTGGTCTCCTTTCTGGTTCTTTTATTTCATTTTTTATCAGTTCATTACAATTTTGCCAAGTTTCTTTGAGTTCCTCAAAGAAACAATTTCTCATAGCACAATAATATTCTGTTACTTTCATACACGGCATGAAAGTAGAGCTGAAGGTTTGCAAAGCGCCTGACACACGTTATCTTAACTGTTTCTCACAACAACCTCGAGAGGAAGGTGCTGTGATCAGCCCCATTTTACAGATGAGGCATCTGTAAAATATATCGCAGCTTACTCCGCTATGCTCCAGTCAATAGGCACCATCCTTGTTTCTAGTTCTTTGCTAAAAGTAAAATGCTGCTACGTATGGAAACTGTTTTATTCCACTTCGACAACCTTGGTTTGGATGGGGATCACTGGGTCACAGGGTGTGACTAGGTTAGTCATTTTCTCCAACATTTCCAGAATGGTTGGGCCAGTTCACAGATCCACCAACAATGTGTCAGTTTGCCTATCTGCCCCATAGCAACTCCAGCACTGACTTCAATTTTTCTTTATCTGCCAATTTGCTGCTCTCATTTTGCAGAGGAGGAAACTGAGGACCCCATGTTTAGTCAATGGCACAACTGGGACCAGAGCCCAGGTGTCCTGACTCCCTCAGGCTAGGGCTTTTTCTACTCTGTTTTGCAGAGAGCCTAATCAAGACCGAGCAGAGCTGCCAGGGCCACAGAGAGAGTCGGGGCTGGCTTTCACAGAAGACCACACAGTGGGGCTCACCTGTAAGGGCCAGGGTCCAGGAGGGGGGCGTTACAATACTCCTGACTTGGGTTTCGGAGGCACCTAGTGTCACTGCCCACACGGAGAATAGCAATGTCTTCTTCCTTGCATGGGTAGTGGTCAGGAGACAACTTCAGGGTCATGTAGTAAAAGCTCATGGGCAGTCTGGTGTAGGAAGGGATCTCTGCTGCAGTCTCAGGGTTCTGGAAATCCTTGGTGGCTAGAAGTAGGAGAGAAAGGGAGACCTTGGCAAGTCCCAGGGTAGGACCCTAGGCTCCACTCAGGGCTCGAGCCCTCATCCCCTATGGTAGACCCTCATCCCTTTGCACTTGGAGCTGCCATCAGAAGCCCTTCCTAGATGACCTGTTGCTACATGACGCAGGCTCAGCCACTGTGACAATCCCCTCATTCCCAACTCCACTCCATTGGCTAATCTGGCTTTAAGATATCCTCCCACGTGGGAATTGTTTTGTTATTCAAGTAGGGGAGAAACAGAAACATCTTAAACTCTCAAAGGAATGAATCTCTAAGGGTATGATTTCAGACATGTTGGTGGAGGAGATGCTTTGGGCCTGAGGATCTCGCCCTGGTGGGCATCTATCTGTGTCAGCTTCCCGTAAGACTCACTCAGGGCTGGGAGAATACGCCTCCTCTTCCCCTACCCGCCCCTGGCCCACCAGACAAACCATTGCTGAAGGCTACCACCAGCCAGATGGTATCTGTTGAGCTGGCATGCTCCATGAAGATGCATCTTGGCTGGTCCAGGGAGAAGGTGGCTGAAGTGACCTTCCCCTCCAGGGCATGGGGGGAGATCTGTGGAGTGTACGGGATGTGATCTGCAGAAAGCCAGAGACAGGCATGAGCACTTGGGAGGGAGGAGGGCAGGTGACGGTTGGGTATCCAGTGCTGTTGGCATCCTTCCTGGCAGGGATATGGGCAGATGATTAAAGGAAGGTTAATGAAAGGGAGTGTGGCATAATGGAGAGACGGATTTTGAGTCAGAGGACCTGGGTTCAAATCCCAGGTCTGCTACTTACTAGCTGTGTGACCTTAGGGAAGTCACACTTAACTCATGCATGCCTCAGTTTCCCCATATGTAAAATGAAGGAGTTGGACTAAATGACATTCCTTCCAGCCCTAAATCTCTGATCCTGTAAACACTTAGAAAAGGAAGCCATGAACACAATGAGCCTCTGGGGCATTATGAAGAACTGGTCACACCGAAGGAGCTAGATTGGGAGGTGAAGGGAATGCCACGGACATAGGCTGCTGAGGTTTCTGCCGTGCATGTGACCAACTCTTTATGTTATTGGGAGCCAGACTGTTGGAACTAGCTGAATGCTGCCAAGAACAGTCAAAGGATCCTGAATTTGGAGCTGAAAGGGACCTCAGAGGTCATCCTTTTACACGTGAGGAAACTGAGGCACAAGTTATTTGCTAATAATCACAAAGCCGCAAGGTGTCCGGGGCAGGATCTGAACTCGAGTCTTCCTGACTCCAAGTCTGGAACTCTACCCAGAACTCTGCTGCCTCTCTAGTCAGTTACAAATACAATATGGAGGGAGGGCTCCAGTGATCGATGCTTGGTCCTACGCTGGTCAACATTTTTAAGAATGACTTGGATGGAGAGGAACATGGCATACTTGTTAAATTTCCCAATGACCCAAGGTTCAGGGGGGAAACATCTTTGTTGAGTGACAGGGTTGGACCTCCCATCCACCCCTAATCTTGACAGGCTAGAAGGATGGGCCAAGCTGAATATGAAGGAATACTAAAAAAAAAAAAAATCTCTTCTACTTGGGTTCTAAAAACAACTTCCCAAATACATGATAGGGGAGCACGGCTCTGTGGCAATTTGTTTGAAAAAGATCTTGGGGTTTTAGTGGACCACACGCTCTACGTGGGTCTATAACAGTGAAATGTGACAGCAAAAAAAGCTAGCGTGATCTGAGGCTGCATTGAAAGGTACAGCAAAGGAAGGGACAGTCAGTCCCCCTGAGTCCTCTGCCCTGGTTGGGCCATACTCGGAGTCATGTGGTCAGTTCTGGGCACCATATTTTAGGAAGAACATTGATCAGCTGGAGCGCGTACCAAGGAGGGAAATCAGGCTGGTGAAGGGCTTTGGGATTATTCATACCTTGCAAAGATCAATTGAAGGAAGTCAAGATGGTTATCCTAGAGATGAGAAGACTGGGGATTGGGAGTGCTGAGGCAGGGACATGTTAGCTACAGGAGGTAGAATGTAAGTTCCCTGAGGACAGGGCTGATTCCACGCTTCCCTCTGCAAGGCAATGCAGAGTACTTGTACATCCTGGGGAGGACTAGACCTGTGATGTCCTCGGTCTGGGGAATGCCCCTGGCCAAGGCAGACGGGCACCTGCTGTATGTGTCAGTAACAGAATCTGAACCCGGCTCTTCCCAACTCCATCATTCATTACACCACAGGGCCTCAGGTGGTGGGCTCCTAAGTGCACAGAACCGTGTTCCTCCAGGCAGCGCAATGCCTGGACTGAAGATCAGGGTTCCGATCCCGCCACTGCCACTTATTCCTGTGTGACCTCAGCCTCCCCAGGTCGCGGTTCCTCAACTGTAAAATGAGGGGGTTGGGCTTGATGGCCTCAAAGGGCCTTCCCAGCTCTGTCCATGGTCCTTTGAGCCCAAGACTGGGTCATCCACGCTCCTGCCCCCTCCCTCTCAAAAGGAGACAGCTCCACCTCTCACCTCCCACCTGCTGACACCCGCCACACCCTTCCCTTGAACCGGACAGCCCAGAACATGCTTCTGGTCAGAATTCGGCCTTGGGAAGCTCACTCCTCGGCAGCTGTCTGGCACGGACGCCCCCAGTCTGGAGTCCGTGGGGCCCCGCCCTGATTGTAACGCTTGGGGGAGTCTCATCTCCCCATCAGATCGGGACCCCCAACCGGACTGTCTCCTCTTTGCTTCTCCAGTCTCGCTGGACGAACCAAGCCAGCTGAGCCAAGCTCAGGAAAGGCCGCAGACGGTCACCACCACTACCGCCGTCAACGCTAGCATTCCTATAGCGCTCCAAAGGTTCCCAAAATGCCTTCCATCCTTTATCTCACTTAACAATAGCTAAGATTTACATAGCGCCTACTATGCGCCAGGCACTGTGCCGAGCGGTTTACAATTATTATCTCACTGGGTGCTTACGACAACCCTGGAAGGGAGGTGCTATTACTATTCCTCCCATTTTACACATGAGGAAACTGAGGCAAACAGAGGTGAAATGACTTGCCCGGAGTAAGTATCTGAGGCTAGATTTGAACTCAGGTTTTCCTGACTCCAGGTCTAGCCTCCCTTTAATTATTATGATTAATTATGATTAATGATAATTAATTAGAGGGGATGCCTAGTCCCAGTATCACAGGACCCTAGACCTAGCCCCTAGAAGGGACCTCAGAGGCTACCAAAGCTACCTCCCTTTACAGAAATGGAAGCTGTCTCTCACTACCCTTTTCTCCTTGCTGTGGGGGACCCAGGTGAAAGGGTCACTGATGGGGGGAGGAGGAGAAAGAAAGAGAGGATAAGGGGGCACCTCCTAATTCTGCTGATGACAGCTGGGCAGCATGGGAAGTCCCATGCCTCCTGTAAGTCTCCTAAAGAGATACTGGAACATGGGGCACGTGCTGGCTGCCCAGAAGTCAAACATTAACCAGCTCCAACAACCAGATTTTCCTGTCCCCATGACTCTCAGCCTACTTCCTTTCCCCAGTGACTGGTCCCAGGTGCTTTTCAGAAAGCACCCCACATAAGTGAGAGGACAGGGAAAAATAGGATCCTGGAACTGGAAGGGAGCTCAGAAAGTCATCTGTTCCAACCCCTTCATTTTACAGATGGGAAAACTGAGGCCAGGGAAGTCAGGTGATTTGCCCAAGGTCACGCTGGTAGTCAATGACAGAGGCAGGATAATCCCTTCCGATTGACAAGGTGCTCTCCTCCCCTACAGTCCTGTGAGGCAGGTAGGACCAGTATTATTATCCCCATTTTACAGGCAAAGAAACTGAGGCAAAGAGGTTCAGTGAATTGTCCAGAGTCACATAGCTAATAAGTATCAAAGGGAAGGTGGAAACACAGCCTCTCCAGACTTGGGGTTTAGTCCACCTGGCCATGGCTCAAGGCCCTACAATCCCCTGGGAAGGATTCATCTGCCCCAGAATGATCCTCCAGAAAGGCCTCAAATCTGACCATTAGTTTCATTATGCTAGTTAAAGGCACTGCCTTCTGTTAAAATGCAGTAGCATTCTCCCTCATGTCCTAGTAACAGTAGGTCATCATTAACACCTCAGTGTGACTGAGTTTATAAATTCCTTTCCCACCAAGAACAGATTTCCCTGGAGAAGAGAGAGGAGGACAGAGAGGATGGGGTGGCCAAAAGAAGCTGGGACCAGTCCCTTGACAGTGGGGCCAATCGCTGCCTGACACTTGCTGCCTGGGTGACCTCGGGCAAGTCACTTATCTGGGCCTCAGTTTCCTCCTGTGGAGACCATTTCATTTTTGTTTGAGTCATCTCAGCACCAAGTACCTTGCACCTAGCAGGTGATTCATAAATATTTGTTTTTAAAAACCCCATGAAATGGAATGCTCCATCCTTCAAATGACCAAGCTTGGCCCAGAGAGGAGCTAAGAAAAGGCACCCAGCTCCCATCTTGGCCCAGGTCGGGGATTATGGGAGGGGACAAGCCACTCAACTTCCGTCGGCCTGGGGGCTTGCTTAAAGATCTCTCAGGGAAGGATGGGAGGGAAGTAGGCACAGACTCAAGAGTCTAGCCCAGGGACCGCCATTCTTGAGAGCCCAGAAGCTCCAGATGGAACAAGGATGGGGCTGAGTGGGGGACAGCTGGGTGGGAGCAAGTCAGAGTTCAGAGGCTTTTCATTCCCTTCTGTCATTCATCTACTTCTCAGTCCTGCAGACTGGTCATGGGTGTGTGCGTGAACGGGGTGAGACCCAAGCTTGCGACTTGTCCCGGGGCTCAGTGACCAGTCTCCCAGCCCTCATCAATAATTACAAAAGAACTCTCAAGCCCCATTCAGGTAGGCTGCATCCCCGGGACCCCGGGACCCTGGGCCCAAGTTAGCCTGGGCTACCTGTGTGATGAGGACGGTATTCAGGGACAGCTTGGTACAGTCGACGGGCCCCAGCAGAAGAGGGGGGATGGGTTGTTAGTTTGGGTTTTTTTTACATTTTTATCTTTTGTTCTCTATCACCTTCACTTCTAATATCTCCAGGAGTGTGCCAGAGCCAGCTCAAACCAGTTCAGGCTAGCTGATAATTAAACGTTCAGAGTAAATCCAGGCTTGATTGTTTTATTTACTGTCTAGACTGAAGAAAGTGGTAGAGAAAATTAATAATGCCGATTAAGCATAAAAGTGTATCGTGGGGGCAGCTAAGTGGTGAAGTGGATAGAGCGCTGGTCCTGGAGTCTGGAGGACCTGAGCTCAAATACGACTTCAGGCCCTTACTAGCTGTGCGACCATTGGCAAGTCACTTAATCCCAATTGCCTCCAAAAAAAAAAAAGTGTATTTTGGACACATTTTTTTCTGTCCACACACTCCTGAGTATATCCTTCCTAACTCTTCTATCTACCAAGCCATTCCCATGTAATAAAAAATTTTAAAAGGTTACAAAAAAGCAGTTCAGCAAACCAACCAAATTTGACAGTCTATATACTATTCCACACCCATAGCCCTCCCCCCCGCCCCTGCACCTCTCTGCAAAGGAGGGAAGCAGATGCATCTTCTAGTTTCTAATCCCTTCTCTGCCTTTGTCTCTGTGACCTTGATTGGGCAAGCCCCTCTGGGCCTATGTACCATGAAGAAGCTGGACCAGAGAATGTTTATGTTCATTCCGGCTCCCACAGTGTGTGACTGTGAACGTGAAAAATGAGGTCAACCCCCTCATTTTACAATGCAGGAAACTGAGGCCCAGAAAGAAGTGACTAGCTCAAGGTCACAGAGCAAATGGCAGGGGCAGGATTTGAACCCAGCTCTCCTGACTTAAAATCGGATGTCTTTCTCCTGCATGCGGTTGGCATCATGTGGGTGGGAAGCATTCTAGCTCTTTTCTTATTGATGGGAAGAAGGAATTTGTCCTGGGGGGGTGGGGAACTCCCAGAAGAGCACTAATCCTAAAACCCTGGGACCTGGTCTGAATCGCGATTCTGCCCTTGAACAACTCCCTCACTGTCCTAAGGCCTCAGTTTCCCTCTCTGTAAAATGAAAGGGTTGGACCAGAGGGCCTCTGTGACGTCTTCCATCTCTGGCTCTATTATCCTCGAATCCTCTCTAAGACTCAGTTTCCTCAACTGTAAAATGTACGGTTTGGACTCCATGACCTCTGTGTCTACCACCTGGCTCCATTCACAGAATGCCTGAAGGTTACAGACTTTTCAGAGAAATGCAGCGTCTTTATTTTGGTTCTGCACAGCACTCAATTCAAACTGAGCCTAACCAAGGCTTGTGCCCTCTGGGGACCTATGTTAATGGATACACTTCGTGGAAAGCAAAAAACGAAAAATAATTTGTTTCCTTAAATAAAGATTCTCACCCCCAATGGCCTACTGACTCAGTGAACAATTTTCTCCATAATGAATTATAATAATAAACAACTAATGTTTTTATAGCACTTCAAAGTTTACAGAACACTTTGTGGAAAACAATCCTTTGGGGTACGGAGTGCAAATATTATCCCCATTTCACAGATGAAATACTGGGTTCCTTGTCCAAAGTCTCACATCGATTAAGTGTCAGAGCTGGGATTTGAGCTCAGGTCTCTCCTGTCTCCAAGGTATGGAGGTCAGACTCAGGTTGGGGAACCATCTGGCACGCCCAGGGTGGTGTTAATGCTTTACTCTCTGGGTGGATCTCTGTCTCACAGACCCCTGGCAGCAGTTGCAGGGCCCCCCCTCTCCAGGTCCCCAGCACACTCACCCAGGCTGGTCCCCATGTGGTGACTGATAAGTAGCAGAAGCAGCAAGAGGTGAGAGTCCTGGGCTCGCCCCATGGCCTTAGTGGACAAAGCTTCTGACGGTAGCTCGAGGAGGGGTGGTGACGGCTGTGCTCCTGGCTGGGGCTTGGTCTGGGCAGGAGGGACAGGAGGCCCATGGGAAGGAGGCTCAGTCTGCTCTGAGGGTCCTCATCTGGCTCCCTTCTTTCCTAAGGTGCTCACAGCCCCCTCCCCAACAGACAGACACACACCCCGGTCCAGGAGGAATGGAGATTGATGGACGAGCTGGTCGGGCAGGTTGTCTGGACAGTCCGAGGCTAGAAAAACCTGTATGTAGAACTCCCTCCCCTCTCCAGCTGCAGGAGGGGTCTGCGGAAGGGCACGTGGGTGAGATCAGTACCAGGTGGTGCTCGGCTGAGATGCCATTTGCCTCCCCCAAGGGAGGGGCCCTCGGCTTTCTGCTGGAGCCCTGGATGCCGCAGCCCCCCGGCTTCTAGACTTCTAAATCCAGTAGGTGAGGGCTGGGCAGTGGTGGGCAGAACTCTCCTCCCCCATCCGTCTCTGCCTCAGCTGGGCCTAACTAACCCCAGGTTCAACTCGAACTGGGCATTACTGAAATTCCTGGACGCAGGCACCACAGGGCTCAGGAGCTCTCCTTCCCACCTCGGATGATTCATTTTCTCCCCCTCGTATGCCCCACCCTGGGGCCCTCTGTGGCTGGCTGCTGACCCACTCAGAGAGCTAGAAGCTGCTCCTTGGTTTCTCGGGCCCAGAAGCCTCTTTCTGAAGTCACTCTACGAGCATTTATTATGCACCTACTTTGTGCCAGGCATGGTGCTAAGCTCTACACAATTCAAAGAAAGGCAAAACCACCATCCCTACTAATCATCCTTGGAGCGACGGTCCTACTGGGAGACATGCAAATACCTGCTGGGAGCTCCAGGTGCAGCTTGGGGAGTTTATGCTTATCCTCCCTGGATCCCACTCTGACAAGTAAGAGACCTCAGTATGCCGAGCCTCAGTTTCCCCATCTGTAAAATGGGGACTAAGACAGCCTCTGGTGACCCTAAAATCTTCCGTTCCTAAAGAGGTTTTCAATATAACCATGCCCATCATGCCGAGTCTGAGGCCACCATGCTTACAAGACTCCAATACTAAGTTTAGTGAGTGGGGGGATGCCCTCCGGGCATTCTGTCCCCACCCCTCCCACCAGTCCCAGTCAAACTGGCCTTTAAAACAAGATTCAGCACATCAGTGGCAGCCCTTCACCTCTAAGGGACGGGATGCTGGGAAATCTCAAATCCCGTCATGTCATCAAACCAGGACCCGCAAGAAAGGCCACATGCCCCTTTTCCCACCAGCCAGCCGCCAGATTCTCCAGGCACGAATCAGTCCCACTCCCTGGGGTCCTGGCTCCTTGCTTCCCTCCCCCAATGCCTGACCCAGATAAGAACCTTACAAAAACCCACCAGACTTGAGTGGTTTGAGGAAATGACTGATCCTTTTCATTGTGAGTAACCCGCCCCCCCCAACCAGGCCAGCTGGCTCTCTGACGACTACATTGCTGTGGGCTCCACGTTTCCTTGTACTGATTTAGGGCTAGAAGGAACCTTTGGATTAATCTACCCCAGCCTCCTTCTTTCTCTTTTTTTTTCTTCTCTTCGTTTCTTTAAAAATTAATTTTTTAATCTTGAGTTTAACCAAAAATGTGGGGCATTTCCCTATACATAGTAGAACAGATGAAGAGGCTTGTACATGAAATTATGAATTTCTATTATTTAGAGCTTGCTCTTCTTTTAAGCATAACAAATTCAACATATAAATTTCCAAAGTTGGCCTCTTTGTGAGTCCTCCTAGCTTTCTGTTCTGTTCTCTGTGCATTTTTTTAAAAAAATGCTCCAATGATCCTTTTTTCTTTCTTTTTGGCTACCCTAGCCCTAACCCTCCATGCTCCCAAATTGTCCACTTCTCCAAAATAACTACAAAGAAAAACAGAAACTTTGCAACAAACAGAGTCGAGCAAAACAAAGGCCACATCTAAAAACGTATGCCTTGGGGCAGCTAGGTGGCACAGTGGAGAGAGCACCGGCCCTGAAGTCAGGAGGATCTGAGTTCAAATCCGACCTCAGACCAAACACTTGCCACTTACTAGCTGTGCAACCCTGGGCAAGTCACTCAACCCCAATTTAAAAAAACAAAAAAAAGAAAAACGGATGCCTCATTCTACATCATGCGCCCTTCCCCTCTCTGTCAGGAGGTGGGGAGCAATACCCTTGCATCGTTCAGAGTTCTCAAGTCTTTTAAAGTTGCTTTTTGGTTACTGCATCCATTGCTCTCCCAGTTCTGATCACTTCACTCTGCATCGGTTCAAACAAGCCTCGTTTCTACAAAACCACTGCTTTTGCCATCTCTTATGGCACAATATTCCATTACCATCATGTGCCACCATTTGCCCTGCCATTCTCCAAGAGATAAGCATCCTTTTACTTTCCATTTCTTTGCCCCTACAAAAAGAGCTACAATAAATATTTTTATACGTATGGGTCTTTTTCCTCCTTTCTTTGAAGTCTTTGGGATATAGGCCTAGTAGGAGTATCACTGGGTCAACGGGCATGACCAGTTTAGTGGCTCTTGGGGTATGGTTCCAAACTGCTCTCCAGAATTCTGCCCCATTTGCTCTGCTCCATCCACAGTGTGTTAACGTGCTTGCTTTCCAACATTCGTCATTTTCCTGTTTGTCATCTTTGCTAATCTTATGGATGTCAGGTAAAACCTCCGAGTTGCTATAATTTGCATCTCTCTAATTAGTGATGTGGAACATCTTTGCATGCGGTTGATAGCTTGGATTTCTTCCCTTGAAAACCGCCTGTTCATATCTTTTGACCATATTGGGGAATGGCTCTTCTTCTAAATTTGAACCAGTTCCTTACATATCTTGCATAGAAGACCTTTATCAGAAACTTTCTGCAAAGATTTCACACACACACACACACACACACACACACACACACACACACACACACACACACACACACACAAACCCAGTGAAATGATTCCCATCAGATTTTCATTGCATGGGGAAGGGACATTTCGGTCACTTTTTTAGCGTGGTTCCAAATTGCTTTCCAGAATGCTTGGACCAAGTCAGCTCTACCAATAGAGCATTACCGCGCCTGACTTTCCACAACTGCTCCAACACTGATTCATTTTGCCGGTGTATCCTTTCTTAACTCTCAAATTACCATTAAGGCAAGCCAATATTTAATTAGCTGCCTTGCTTCTGGTAATTGAAGACCCCTCCCCCTCCTCCCTCTCCCCCTATAACTATAGTAGGCCTCTGACTGAGATTTGTGATCTAGCTCAAAATTCTCATCATTTCCTTTCTGTTCAGGTAGACTGCAATGTTCTTCCGGCTTCTCTGACATCCTTACTCTCACCTCCCACACCAGGCTGTTGCCAAAGCTTGTCGATTCTATTTTTTGTAGGATGAGAGAAGATCAGATGTTTCAGGCCCCTCCCCAGTGAAACTTCTTTGAAAGGATGCAAAGTCACTGTCCTCCCTCAAACTACCATTTCTATTACATTTATTCTATCTCTACCTGCCTGAGTACATGTTGTTTTCCTCAAATGAATGTAAGTTCCTTGAGGGCAGGAGCTTTTTAAACTTGTCTTTCCAGCCCTAGCACCAGCACACAGAAGGTGCAGTATGCATGCCTGTGGATTCCCCGACCCTTTGCACTTCAGTATCGGCCTTCAGCTCAGTCTCTTGATGGGTATTTGTACCTGCAACTGGCTCTCACTATGAAATCGATGGCCAGCGGGTAAGGGAGAGATTGACATAGTGGCCCAGGGTTTGCAAAACTGTCTGTTCACAACAGGGAGCATCGTGCCCATTAAGCAGATGAGGAACTTGGCCTCAGAGGCGTGCCTATGATTGCAGAGTCAGAATCAGAGGCTAGTCTGACTCCCAGGCCAGTCCTCCCTCCCACCCCCCCAGTATGTTATCATCAGTCCCTCGCCCTCATTGGTACGACTTCTCCACACTCTAATCAGTCTCTTTGTAAAGTGTTCCACAAGGGGGTCCAGCACAAAGCTTGGCATACGTGGTGTGGAAAACTCTTTGTAGGTTTAAGCATCATAAGAGTCAAATAGATGAAGTCAGCTTTATGGGGAGTGGGAAAAGCAGCTGTTGAGATTAGAGAGTCAGCTCAAGTCTGTTTTTGGCTAGGCAATGGGGTTAAGTGACTTGCCCAGGGTCACACAGCTAGTGAGTGTTATGTGTCTGAGGCCGGATTTGAACTCAGGTCCTCGTGCCTCCAGGGCCGGTGCTCTATCCACTGCGCCACCTAGCTGCCCCCAGCTTGAGTCTATAAGGAAAGCGCTGTGCCCTCTCCCCACCCCTCATCCCCTGAGCCCTACATTCCCTTAAGATCTGGGGTTCTGGTAGGGCAAGCCACACCCCTGCCCTGGGCATTTCTGCTTAGAGAACATCCATGAAGAAGTACGTGTGAACATAAGAAAGTAACAGAGCCACATGGTTATAGGTATTTTGAGTTTATTGCAAGAAAAAAAAAGTATAGAAATTCCTAAAACCAGCAGTGAGGTATGAAGGAAGAGCTGACCCAGAGCCCATCAAAATGGGTGGGCGAGAGGTCGTCCCCTCAAAGGACGCCATGTTGGATCTGCAGGCACCACTAACCTGGAGCCAACAACAGCTAGAAGACAGAATGGGTCTGGATTAATCGAGGTAGCTGCATCTTTCGGACCTGCCAGATGACTACCCAGGCTTACGGCCTTTTCTGCTGACAGATCAAATAGAGTAAGTCAAGATGTGCAAACTAGAAAAAATTCCAGGCATCCAGTGTAACAAGATACCCCGGGCGTACGGCATCGACATCATGGAAAAACATTATGACCTTAGATAAAAACGACCTTTTGACTGCTCGGTCAATGACCAACCCCCAAACGCGTTATTGCTCCCAACAGGATGAGGGATGAGATGGGGACGTAAGGCGGTGCGAGCTCTAGAGCTTTAGTGGGTCCCTTGGGGCAGAGCTCCAAGGGAAGACCGCGAGGCCCGGCTGCTCAGTCCTAGGGACTCCGGGGCATCACTGCTTGAGACAGTCTTCGGTCACTCCCTGTGCGGCCAACTCAGCCAGCACGTTGTCCAGGTAGTTGGGGTCGGGGTAGCCGTGGCCGGTCACGTTGTGACCCATCTCTGTTTTGTGGTGGATCTCGTTCCACACCACCGTGTCTGTCTCGCCTGTGGTGTTTGAGGTTCCGACCGTGAAGATCAGGCGCCTCTTCCAGGCCACCTTCAGGAGTTCCAAAACCTGGGCAGGAAGGAGGGGAAAGTGAACCAGCTGCCAGAGAGCGAGCTGAACCCTCTCCAGAGGCAGAAGAGGTCCCTGCCTTCAGAGTTTAATGGGAAGGGTATCAAGATCCCTGGGGTAGAGAACTCCCCTTGGGTGTGACTGCCTGAGGCCTCACAGAATTTTAGCTCCCAAGGGGTCTTTCAACATCCTAGCAAACGTGTAAGCCTCAGAACAAGACTAAGGCAGGTGCTATCAGTATTCCTATTT